AAAGTTACAGAAGCCACTCACAGCCAGGAGCAGGWGTGTCCAGGGCCACTGGGAGACATAGGTCTGCAGAGATGGAGGCAAGGATGAGTGGACAGCAGCAGCCCACATCTCCATGCCCACTTGAAGAGGTGGGGGGAGGGATGCTGCATCTGTCTTATCAGGGCCCTATAATCAGTTGGTAGGAATCAAGTCCAGGCATGTGGTCATCGTGTCACACTAGGTACTTTATACATGTAATCTCTGATGTGGCACAATAATCACTGACCATCTCCAGCCAAGGAGGTAGTGGCTGGGAGAGGTAAGGCCAGGTGCCCAAAGGGTGCAGACCTAGACAGAAACCAAAACTCTTCTTGTTCCTGGACAGAGAATGGCTGGGAGCTCTGGAGTCAAAGTAATAGTTTACTTATTGGACATGATGCATTCTGTAGGATGGAAGGTCATGGTCAGACGGCGCCTGAATGTGCAAAGAACCTGGAAATCTGAGAGCAAAGGTGTACGCCCATTACAGTAGGCCTCTGGGCAAACTGCTGGACCTCCCTGGTCTGGGTGTCCTCTTCTATATTACCAGAGGGGAAATGGGAGGGATTGATCCCTGCTCTACTGGGCCAATACTGTTCCTGTCAGGATCAAACCAAACTCTGGCTCTGAAAGTGCTACTAAACAATTTTGGGTTGGGGGTGTAGTATAGCTTCATGGTAGTGTGTGTATTCAGCATGCACAAGGCCCTAGATTCCATCCCAGCACCAAAACAACCAACCAACCAAACCCAAAACCAATCTTAATCCAAACTAACACAAGGAGAGGGGATGTTATCAAAATTTAAGTTAAACCTGGTGTGGTGGTGCACGCCCACTACCCCAGCCACTTGGGACATGGAGGCAGGATTGCAAGTTTGTGGTTAGCCTGGGTGGCTCAGCAAGACTCTGCCTCAAAGTTTTAAAAAGAATAAAAAGGACTGGGGGTTTAGCTCAGTTGTAGAGCACTTGCCCAGAATGTGAAAGGCACGGGTTCCAAATATCCCCATCACGTCAAAAAAAAAAAAAAAAAAGTGGGGCTGGGGTTGTGGCTCAGCGGTAGAGCACTTGCCTAGCATGTGAGAGGCATTGGGTTCGATCTTCAGCACCACATAAAAATAAATAAATAAAATAAAAATCCATTGACAACTAAACAAAAAATATTAAAAAAAAAAAAAAAAAAGCAAAAGCAAACTTCAGTTAGCCATTCTGACCTTCTGTGGAGTGAGACCGCTGTGATTAAGGTATCTAGAAGTCAAGAGGACACAACTAGCAGAGCTGGACCACAAAACCTCTCTGCTTTTTCCACAGGACCTCTACTGGTCCCAGGACAGCCAGACAGGTGAGGAGGAGGCAGCCGGCCCCTGGACAGGTGGCCAGGGAAGCCTGCTGCTGAGTGTCTACAGACTGCAGGAGTCAACTTTCCAGCACTATAACAAAACACCTGAGGCAGTTAACAGATAAAAACAAAAGGTTTATTTTGGCTCCCAGTTCTAGAGATTCCTGTCTAAGATTGACTGACCCCATGCTGTGGGCCTCTGGTGAGGGTGGCAAATCATGGCAGGAATATGTGGTGGAAGAAACAGCTTGACTCAGCCAAGAAGCAGAGGCAGACAGGAAGAGGCCACAATCCCCTTCAAAGGCACACCTGCAATGACCTCAGGCTTTTCCACTGGCCCTCACCTAAAGGCTCTATTCCCTCCCAATAGTACCATTCCTGGGGACCAAGCTGTGAACAACAGGCCTTTGTGGGAATTCAATATCCATGCTATAGCAGAGGTCAACTAGCAAGGGTATAAAAGAGAGAGAAAAATGCAATTGAGGCTAATTTCCTTCTCTTAGGACCATATTTCCTTTGACTGCTCAAAAGTTTTGGATTTGGGAGCATTTTGGATTTTAGGTTTTTGGGTTAGGGATGCTTGACCAGTAAATTCTATGAAAATATTCCAAAACCAAAAGATAAAACCAACATCAGAACTATTTCTGGTCTCAAGATACTCAACCTCTATATCTAACTCATAACACAAATGTCACTTTAGCTGGGCATGGTGGTGTGCAGCTGTGACCCCAGCTATGTGGAAGGCTGAGGTGGGAGTTCAAGGCCAGCTTGGGCAACACAGTGAGGGTATGTATGCACATACATAAAATAAGATACAATAAATTGAAATGTCGCTTTTTGTGTAAGGAAGGAGCATATTAACAAATATACAAATGTGTTTCCATTTGCAAAGAGAAATTCTGAAAGGTTAAGCCAAGAGCCAAATAATAGTCATACAAGGCGACACAGCAGAGGCAGCACATTGGAGGCCAGACCTGTCTGAATGACCTTGTTAGTTTGGCTTTGGAACCATAAAAGCTTTTGTTGCTGTTTTACGGTGCTGGGGCCTGAACCCCTGGCTTCTGCATGTGAGGCAAGTGTTCTCCCACTGAGCTGCACACTCCAGCCTCTAAAGTTCCACACGGTCAGTGCCTGGGGGAAGCAACTAGGGAGAACTGAAAACAAATGGGAGCCAAGCCACCGGGCTGCACAACAACCCGATGACATGCACACCACCAAGAACGCTCTCAGGGGGCCTGAGCGCACGGGGTCTCAATGGCTCATCTTTAATGGAACATATTTTAAGGACAAATGAAGCTGCAAAGAAATCTTAAGGTGCTCTCAGAACTCCAGTGGTGGGTGTCTCATCCACAGGGCGTCTCACTCTGAAGTGATCACACACGGAAGTCAGGCGAACTAACGTAAAGGCAGAACTCTGGTAGGTTAAATAAATAAGAAACGTGGAGAGAAACCAAGCCTGACAGGAAGATATGTAAATAAAAATCAAAGCAGTAAAGATCCCGGAATGTTAAATCAGAGTTAGAATTAATTACTCTAAACCTGTCCCCACTAGTCTCGAGTCCCCGAATCACCTGCCCCCACAACTAAAGTCCACAGACACTCAAGTCCCTTACATGGATATCTGCATGGAATCTACATACACAGGGGTGTAGACTTTACATCATCTCTACATGATGTGTGATACCTGACGGAAGGGAATGTTATGGAAACACATGCTAACCTCCATCGTTAAGGAAATTATGACAAGAAAAAAAAGTTTGTGCATGTTTGGTACAGACATAATTTTTGTTTCTCATCTGAAGTTGGATGATTCTGTGGATATGGAATCTGTAGATCTGGAGAATCAACTATGTGTACATCTTGTTTTTCGCTGCAAAGGCCTAACAGGAATGTCAACTCAACAGCAATAAGCACACAGATCACCCAGTTTGTGGCACTAAATACCCTATCCCTCTAAAGCAACCTGGGCTCCTAAAGGAGCAGCTGATGGCAGGTTTGGGTCAGGAAGTACCCAAGATGGTGTTGAGCATCTACTGGGACCAAAGCTGATATCAAAGACTGACTGTGGTGCTGAAAGCCAATCAAAAGGTGTCCCTCAGCTAAACCAGGACAATTTGAATAGGAAAAAGAATTGATGTAACTGACACACACATGATATATACAACGAAACTGAAAAAACTAAAGAACTCCCTTGAGTCCCATAAAAAGCAGAAAATTTCAACTATTCCTGATCAATATCTAAAGTGAACTTCAACTCTTTGCTCTGAAAATTGGTAATTGGGAGAGGGAATTGGGGGCTGGGCATGTGTCTTAGTGGTAGAACATTTGCCTAGCATGTGTAAGGCCTGGGTTTCCATCCCAAGCACTGAAAAATCAAAAACAAAAAAAAAAAAAAAAAAAGAAAGAAAAGAAAAAGAAAGTCACAAATCCAGCTGGACCATGTTTATCCCTCAATAAACATTTACTTGTCCTTTCTAATTCAGATCAAAAAGAATAACATTTCCCTCCTTGTTACCACAATCACCTGCATTAGTTTCTAACACATTCTCAAGGCTGAATGTGCAGGTGGCAGGAAGACCTTTATTCCAGTGCTCAAGTGTTTATGAATATGTCTGGAGTCAATGGAAACACTGATAGGGCTGATCCCATAAAGGATCTGAGCCCTGCGAGCATGGTTTAGAAAAGTCATAGTGGGACAGAGGGGTAGCTCAGAGGTTGAGCACTTGCCTAGCAAGTATGAGGCCAAGCTTCCAGCCCCAGCTCTGAATGAATGAATGAATGAATAAAAAATTTAAAAAAACAGGTAAGGAAGTAAGCCAGTTGATCAGTGGGAATGATGCCAGATGCAGCCTGCAGCTCAGCAACTTGGGAGGCTGAAGCAGGAGGACTGCTTGAGCCCAGGAGTTTGGAGCAGCCTGGGCAGCATAGCAAGACCCGGTTTCAAAACAAAACAAAAAACATCAAAGTGAGATGTGAACGACATTGTCAGGACAGGAAAGAGTCACCCGTGCGGGTGTTTACCGCCTTTATGTTCCCAGTCCAAGTGTAGCATCTATTAGCACCTGGGATCAAGCACACCAGGAAGGAAATGCAAAGAAAGTCCACTTCTTGGACTATGTGCAATGTTCTTAAAAAAGAGCCACATGTTGAAAGGGCTGGCTGTCAAATGCTGCTGTGGTTTGGACATGGTGGTCCTCCGAAGGTTCCTTGTTGGGAGGCTTGGTCTTCAGTGTGGTGGGGTGGAGGTGGTAGGATCTTGAGGAGGTGCGGCTCAGTGGGAGGTTCTTAAGTGAACAGGAAGCAGATCCTGTAAGAAATTTGCTGCAATTTGGATAAATGTCCCCACAGGCCCATGTATTAAAGGCTTGGTTGCCAGCCAGTGGTTCTATTGGGAAGTGGTGGAACCATTAGTGGGTAGGGCCTAGTGGGAGGAAGTTAGGTCATTGGGGGGGGGGTGTGCCTTTGGAGGGGATATTGGGAAAACCGGATCCTTCCTGTTTCTCTTTTTTTGTTTCCTGTCCATCATGACATGAGGAGACTTCCTCTGCCATGTGCTTTCTACATAATATACTGTGCCACAAGAGGCTTAATTTAAGGTAGCAGGGCCAAGAAACCATGGACTGAAGCCTTTGAAACTGATTCAAAACCTTTCCTCCTTTTAAACTGATTATTTCAGGTATTTTGTCATAGCAACGGAAAACTGAGAAACACAGAATTTTAGATCCCACAGTTTCCTGTTTCTTGTTTCATGCACATTCCCACCATTCTCGTCCACCATGTGATATAGTCAGGGGAGACCTCACCCAAGCCTGTTCCATGCTGTTTGGACGTTGGAGCTAAACCAACCTCCTTATACTGTCAGCCTGCCTCAGATATTTCATCAACAGAAAATGGACTAATACAGATACCAAAAGACTGCTCCAAAGTGGCCACAGCACCATATCTCCCCCACAAAGCACCTATTTTGAAATTACTTAAGAAAATGGTGAGTTCTTAGTGGTGGCCAACTCACCAAGTCACTGCTGACCAGGAAAGYTGAGAGGTCCACCAGCACCCATGTGGGGATCATAAAGAAGACAGCGTGGCAGCCCAGGATGTTCAGCAGGCRGAGATGGTGGATCCGTGAATCTCTCAATACCTGAAGACGATTCAAAGTATAAGTGGCAAGAGTACTCCAGGTACTCAGGCCCAAACACAGTGACTGTATGTTAACCTTGACATCTGACCTTGGGCAGCAAACCTGCAATTGCATCTATGAGACATACAGCACATGCATGAAATAAGCACTATGTTCCACGTATAAAGACCTGAGGAAAAAAAAGGAGCAACACTCAATGCTGGAGAAGACGCAGTGAAACAGGTGTCTGATATTCTACTGGTTTAAGTCTAAACTGGTCTTCTTGAAAAGAACCAGGCAACATATAGAAAAGTTATAAACATCTCATATCCTCTGACCCAAGAACTATTAGTCTATCGTAAGGAAAAACCTGAGTCAGAAAAATGTTATGCACAAAGATGTTCATCACCGAAACATTTACAATGAAAAATGGAAAACAGACTGATTCCCAATGGGGGAACTGACTGCATCACTGTGGCATCTGGAAAGTATGTGAGAATTACATTAATTAATAGCAACAATTTTTAAAAAAATATTTACTTTTTAGTTGTAGTTGAACACAATATTTTTATTTTATTTATTTATTTTTATGTGGTGCTGAGGATCGAACCCAGAGCCTCGCACGTGTGAGGCGAGTTCTCTACTGCTGAGCCACAACCCCAGCCCCTAATAGCAGTAATTTTTAATGATATGGGAGGTTGCTATTCTATAAGAGCAAATGAACAAAGCAAAAATTTAAATGTACCTAGAATACTGAAAATCTAAGAACTTTGTGGGGAAAAAAGTTAACATTAAGAGTAATCATAACTTAGGCTGGGGTGTAGCTCAGTGGTAGAGAACTTTCCCAGCATGCACAAGGCCCTGGCTTCAACCCCCAGCACTGCAACAAAAACAACAAAACAGAATACTTATTATCTTTATGAACTTTAGGGAACTATATTGTAGATCTGACTCCATAAAGTAGACATCCTTCGGCAGGAAGACGGGTTTCTTGATTCTTTTTCTCTAGCATCCACCACAGTGCCTGGCACATATTAGGTGTTCAAGAAGTTTTTTTTTTTTTTTTTTTTTTTTTTTAATTTAGCTGGGAGTGGTGCATGCCTATAATCCAGTGGCTCTGATGTCTGAGGCAGGAGGATGCCAAGTTCAAAGCCAGCCTCCACAACTTAGTGAGGCACTAGGAAGTTGCCTAGTGAGACTTTGTCTCAAAAAATAAAAAGGCCCAGGGATGTGGCTCAATGGTTAAGTGCTCCTTGGCTCAATTCCTGCTACCCCAAATAACTAGCCAAACAAATAATTTATTGGGCTTTTCTCTTATTTTTCCACATTGCACATATTAATGTTATAATAGAAAAAAATTTCAACAATATGATGAACAGAAAATCAGAAGAAACAAGCAGAAAGGGCAACAAGGATTCTTTTCTCTTAACATCAAGAAATCACTACTTGGCCAGTGTTTCCAAAGCCACCACCAGCCTGCCATCCCCATACTGCAGAAACATCATGCTAGTCTGTGAGGGTGCCCAAATACCTTTTTGGAGAATATGTTCTGAAGCGAGAAGCACAGTGTGGCAGCAAGGGCACTGACAAGTCCCCACATGTCAAATGACAATTCGGTGACGGTGGCCAGCAGGACGCCGCTGATGATGGGGATGAGTGACAAGTACACCTGGAGGAGGAGGGCAGGACAGGCTGACCGTCAGAGCAGAGAGGGGCCACCCACCCCAAGGCCTGCAGGAAAGTCTCAGCTTCTCTCTTCTCCCTCACCTAAGACATGCATCTGCCACTTTTGAAATTAATGTTGCTGTGACAGAGCTGTTGGGGGTAAGTGGGAGAAGATGGAGCACCTGGAGCAGGGCTTGTGTCCTTGTGGGCAGTCTTGCCCATATTGTCACCCCCATCAAGAACCCTGCCCAGGGCCACAGCTGGGCCTGGTCTTAACCTAGGAAATCTATCCAGCTGCTGGCCAAGCATCAGGATTTGAAACCCCAGTCCTCCGAGAGGCTTCCCACCACTCACTCTTATTTCAGGCTCTAATACAGTCACCTGGCTAGGACATTCCACCTTCTCCTGCTAGTGACCTCTCACCCCAGAGGTCTCAGTTCACCCACCCAGAAGAACTGATCTTGACCTCCCTATACCCTGGTAGGTTCCTGTGCTGTGTTCCCAGTGCCCAGGCAGAGCTTATACAGCAACCCACTAGAAAAGTCACCACATCATCTGGCTTACATAGGACTAGGCCCAGCTTTAGGGAAAGTCATGTTTGCTGCTCTCTCCAGGTGACCAGCACACAGCAGCCACTCAGCAACTGCTGGTTGAATGAACCAGCAGCAAACATGATAAGAGGCCTTCCAACAGGCACAGAATTCCAGGTGGCTAAACAGCTCCCAGTTTCCAGAATCCATACTTCATGTCTGACTCTCCTGACTCCTGAGCTACAAAGAATATTCTCAAAATAGGTAGATGTCCCTGAAGGGGCAGACTGAAGGTAACAGACTGGAGGACCTGAATTCCAGCTTCTGCCTTCCTGGCTATGGCTCTCAGGTATAGGACTCTCTTCTCTGAAGTTCAGTTTTTTCCTTGAGATCAGGTAACAAAGATCTGCCTTATCTGCTTTGTGGGGTGGGTCCAGAAATTATCACATCGTTATCATTAGTCTGTCTACCTATCAGGGCTAATCCCTAGTCTTTTCCAAACTGTGTGAAGTTTCTGGCAACTTGCCAAGCTGGGTACAATGTCTTGTCCAACGAGAAACCTGATAAACACATGTGCTATCAGGTGACGTAGCTGTACACCTCCCAGGCAATTCTGACCCCCAGGAGGCCAATCACACCTGACGTCACCATAGGGAAGTGCTACAGGGCACACACAGGACTTGTTAGGATAAAGACAGGCTAGAATAAAAATCCTGGCCAGAGGTGGCCCAATTTCTAAAAGCTGATCCAGGGCACTGCTGCTCCGAGTTACATAAAGTACAGGATGCCAGAAACCGACCACTTGGACGAGGCATTGTGTCCAGCATGAAATGGGTTCCAGCTGGGACAACAGGAGTCTCGTTTCCACTTCCAGACACAAGGCAAGGCTGGTTCTGGCTAAACCCACAGGTTCTCTTGCATGAGCCAGGAAATACCCTGGCTTGGCATCTTCAACAGGCTCTGGACTGTGCCAGGAGCATCTTCTTTGTGCAGCCTTGAGTCCCACTTGCTATTTTCCCTTCCATCACAATTCCTGACTGGTTTAATTTCTAAGACTTTGCTGGATTTTGCCAACACCAAACTCCTTTGTCTAGCATCTTATGATCCCCAAAGTCCCCTATCTAAGCATTTTTTCTTGGAGAGAAGTAAAAATCTGTGAGAGTTCCGATCCATTCCCTGGTCCCACTGAAGGTACCTTGCCAAGATGGGACCAAGCCATCCATCACCTACCAGCAATGCAGATAGGGAATCAAAACTCAAAGAAAGGGCTGGGGCTTGTAGCTCAGTGGTAGGATGTTTGCTTAGCACATATGAAGCACTGGGTTTGATCCTCAGCACCACATATCAAGAAATAAGTAAAATAAAGGTATTGTGTCCATCAACGACTTAAAAAAATCAACTATAAAAAAAAAAAAGAAAGAAAGAAAGAGAGTTAGACTTGAGAGGGATGGAGGTTTTCCTGAAACTAAACCACAGAGATCACTCAGGGATACACATCCCACACACCACTGTTTGCAGGGTGATTCCAGGACATTAGCAGTAAAAGGGCCACTGGAGAACTCTACACTGACTTCCTTATTTGACAGGAAGCCAGGCGGTCTGCAGGCCAGAAGCCTGAACCACCAGTTACCAGCTGGACAATTGCTGGGAATCCCCCATTTGCCCAGGCTCCTGCCAGGGCATTACCTTGGTGCTCTGCTTCTCCTTCATGATGATCCGGGACAGGAGGACCACCCAGATGGGCATGGTGGCCTTGACTGCAAAAAGAGGAAAGGGCATTCAGTGGGCTGCCTGACTTCCCCGAATTCACCAGGAGTCTGTTCCATCTCTCGTGAGATGGAGGTTTTGGCAGCCCCTCAGACTTCTTCAGTCCTTCGCTTTTTATAGGGTTTCTTCCCAACCCCAACAGTTGGGCTCGCCCTACTCAGCTTCCAGTTCCTTTCTGGTGCCTGGCCCTTCTCAGCCCAAAGTTCTGGCGGCTTCTCAGACTTAGTTCTGGGTTTTTGTATACCGGGAAGCGCCCAGGGAGATGCACTCCTAACCCTGCACCGAGGCCCCAGGCGGCGCGCCCCAGCCACCGCCCCCCTGGCCGGACGTGACACCTACCAGTGTGCGCGTAGGACACCGGCACTTTCCAGATGCTGACGTGCGCTGACACGGACGCGAAATACTTGCCAAAGGCGAGTGGCAGCACGTAGCGAGGGTAGAAGCGTGGCAGCAGCAGCGGGCCAGCCGATGGATGCGGGCCGGGCCCCGGGACCCAGACAGGCGGCGCGGGGGGCACACGCCAGGCGCGCAGGAGCGGCGGGAGTCCCGCACACAGCGCCAGGATGTGGCACAGCGACAGGGTGACCGGAACGGGAAGGCGCTAAGAATCACCTTGTTGACCACGTTGCCGCCCGCGCTCAAGGCGTACCACAGCAGGCACAGCGCTGCCACCCGCGCGCCCTCGCGCCCCCCTCCGCCACTGCCCGCCGCACCCTGGCCCCCAGCGCCCGCCCTGCGCCCGCGCCCACTGCTGCTGCCGCAGCCGCCATCCTGCCCCAGCGGCCGCCCCTTCCCGCCCGCCCGACGGCCCGACGCCGGGCGGGGGCGGGGCCGGCGGGGCGGGCGCGTCAGCTAGCGCCGCTCCCCATTGGTGGTAGTTCTTGTACGTCACCGCCGCGCGCCGACCGATGCGCCAGCCACCACGTCTGGAGTGCAGGCCCCGCCCTCTTGGAAATACGTTCCCGGAAGGGGCGGTTCCGAACCCGGAAGTGAAACGAGGGGGTTACTCGTACCGGGAGTGGAGCTCGTTTTTCCCTCTTGGGCTTCTCTTGGGGACCCTTGCGGAGCCCCGAACGGAATGGGCGAGTGGAAGCGCGAGAGTGCTGCCTTGTTGGAGTCTGGATGGGAGATCAAGCTGGAGGTTTAAACCTCGGGCTTAGCGGCACATCGGCGACCTCCGAGCAAGATTCCTGAAGAGCTAAACGGTTACGGACACCGAGAAGTTAAAAAACCTTCCGGGGGAAAAAACTAGACTGTGAAAAGATTTCCTTGAGCCAGATTAACACTGCAGTGCCAGGGCGGACGCGCGTAGTCGGACTCCGACGAAAGGGCCAGCCCTGACCTTGTTCTCAGCGAGTTGTGGGAGCCACCGAAGTGTGCGGCTGAGGAGCCTGGCCCGAGCTTCATCCCCCCGATTCCGAGGAACGCTGTGCGGTAGGTGTTAACTATCTCCATTTCGCAGACTGGCAGACCGAAGCCGAGAGGGGAAGCGACCTGTCTCAGGTGACACGGCTAATTTGGGGGCCGTGGCCATAACAGCCAGCTTGGACACCTGTCTCCAGAACGCTGCAGAAGTGGGCAGTACTTGGCACGACAAAAGATGCCCAAGGACCGCCCGGATAGACCACTCCCTCAAGCGCCAGTGGAGGAAGAGAAGACTGTTTTCAGCAATATGATCTTATACTAAAGGACTGGTTTGTTCCAAAAGTCATGTGCTACTAACTTCTTGTCGACGAGGAGTTGGTTCTCTTTTATATGTTCTTACTTGGCAAGTTAGAAAGTGGCAACCCAACTTAACTCCAAATGCTGGTGGGTGTCTGTCTGAAATTATCGTTGTGTTCTGGAAAGTAGACAATTTGTGTACCCTGGGCTTTCTTCATACTTAAGACCTAGGTGTGGTAGTCTCTGCAAGTGGGGTGGGAGTAGTGGCCTGTGCCAAAGCCCAGGTCTGAGAAAAGGAGACGCTGATGGGTCGTCAACCTCTGTACCCTAATATCCTCCAGCTGTGCCTATGACCTTTGGTCACAGAATAACATCACATTCTAGGGAGCAGAATGTAAGCCGAGGGCTGGGGATGTGGCTCAAGCGGTAGCGCGCTCGCCTGGCATGCGTGCGGCCCGGGTTCGATCCTCAGCACCACATGCCAACAAAGATGTTGTGTCTGCCGAGAACTAAAAAAAATAAATATTAAAAATTCTCTCTCTCTCTCTCTCTCTCCTCTCTCACTCTCTCTTAAAAAAAAAAAAAAAAAAAAAGAATGTAAGCCGAGTTTAATTAGCTATAGTGGAGGTAGGAAAGTAGCTAGTTACTCCACAGCATAGCTGTGTCACAATTCCACTGCCATATTTCTGGTTTCTTAAGCTTTTATCGTTTTAAGTTTTTAAAATTTAGTCCTCACTACTCTTCATCCTCCAATAGGAACAAGGGCATAAGAGTCGAAAGACTGGCTCAGAGCCATGCAGCTGTTAGATGGGAGCAATCTCACACTGCCCTCAAAGTCATGTCTCCCACTGCCCTTTTCTTGGGGTGGGAGTGTAGGGTGTGTTCTTCACCAAGCCTTTGTCAGAAATCCCTGTTGTTCTGAAACTCTAGTTCTGGGTTGTCTGTGGTCCTGTGGGCTGGAAGGAATGTGCCAGGACCCCTTAATGTACTCTTGTGCACCTACCTCTCTGAAGGGGTAGCTGTTTGCTCATTTATGAAATTGGTAATTTTCTAGATCCCCCCCAAGCCAGATTCTTAGTTGATAGTTTCAGGGACAAATGGGATGAACTATCATTTTATAATCAAAAGTTATTTTTAAAAATATCAGCATCAGCCAGGCACTGTGGTACATACCTGTAGCCCCAGTGACTCAGGAGGCTGAGGCAGGAGGATGGCAAATTCAAGGCCTGACTTGGCAATTTAGCAAGATCCTGTCTGAAAATTTAAAAAAAGGGCTAGGGGGCTGGGGTTGTGACTCAGTGGTAAAGCATTTGCCTAGCATGTGTGAGACACTGGGTTTGATTCTTGGCACCATATAAAAGTAAATGTATTGTGTCCATCTACAATTAAAAAAAAAAAAAGGCAGGGGGGGGGCTGGGGATGTGGGTTCAATCCCCAGTACCACCCAAAACAAAACAAAACAAAAAAAACCCCATCACCAACCAGGTATTAAGGCAGCCTCAGGCATGCATGAGGAGCTGGCAGCCCAGGGCTGAGATGCCTGACACACAGCTCTGCACCTCTGGGCCATGCCATGTTAAGAATTAAAAGTATTTGTGGGATAAAATACTGAACTTGAGCTATGGAGCCTGCTGTAGAGGGCTTCTCTGTGGGGTAGGTGAAGTCTGGATGAGACAGGGTAACATTCCCTGATACTGTTTTGTGGACTGTTGCCCTAAGCTAGCAGGTAGCTCTGAAAGAAAGACAAGTAAAAGTCCACTAAATGCAGCAGAAAGCTAACAGGCAACTTGAAAACTGTAACCTACTTGCCTTATGAGCCTGCAAGTCTAGATGTGGGACTCCCTGGCTAAGCCATAATCCAGGACAGGGCTGATTAGTGGTGAAGATTCAAATGAGAAACGACTTCCAGACTGGTTGTGCAAATGTTTTTTTTTTTTTTTTTTTTATTTCCACATTTATATCACAAGGTGTCCACTTACTGGACCAAATAGCAAAGTTGCTCCCTTCTGTGTCCTGAGAACACAGAAGTCTAGGTACTGTACATTCACTAAGGCTCCTTGTTTTTGCAAATCGCGTTTATGACAAATAACCATAAGGCAAACGAATCTAAAGGAATGGTTATGAGTGTTTCCAGCGTACAGACAGGTCTCCCCTCTTGCCCAGCAGTACAGCTTACACACCAGTAGCACCCGCGGTTACTCTAAGTTGGTTGGTTGGGATTTTTTTTTTTTGGGGGGGGGGGCGCTCCAGAAAGGTGAAATTTTCTAGATATGCATAGGAAGGAAAAAGAAAAGGGAGAAGGAAAGGAAATTTATTTGGCTGGTGGTCAGAAGGAATAAAGGATGAAAATAAACTCAAGAAAACTTAAATTTCTGCAGCATTTCTTTAAGAACTGGGTTTTAACTGAAACCAGATACAAATGGGTGGATGCCCATGGAGTGTGGGTTAAGCTAGCTGGCCCTTTGGCCAGCCTGCATATTGCCAGTGGCTCGCCACAGCCAAGAAGCTTCCAGCGCATGATGGAAAACACTGGCTGGCCAGTGGCTGGGTGGGGTGTGAACACAGGCTGAGGTGCAACCCGCTGTCTCACAGACACTGGGCTAAATCAAAGAACAGAAAATACAGAGATGAGATGCATACGTCTGTCGCTGTGTTAAACGTAACCTCTCCTGTGCCTGCCTGCAACTGAGGTCCCAGTGTTCAGGTGCTGGAGAGTGTCTGCACCTCTTCCGGGATAGGGGACTAACGCTTTTTATAGCTGGTTTGCTGTAGAGTTCTGAACTCACTTTGCCGTCCTTCCTTCTGCGCGGTCCTTCCTTTTCAATTTTGTTAGTAAACTGGTAGCAGCATTTCACAAAAGGAGGAGTTTGGAGGGAAGAGCGCAGAGACCGCGTGACTCCCGCCCCCTCCCTCCCACCTGGGCTGGACTTCCTGGGTTGCCAACTGCTGGAGGCAGCTGGGCCCAGCCACCCGCCTGCCCTGGCTACTGCAAGGTGGGAATGCACTTTGTGGCCAACGGGCCTGTCAGTCCAAGCAGACATAAGGCAGAACGTTCAACCGCCCGTCGTCACCGTGCGGGTCGAGTGATATGCACTGTGTCCAGTCATACCAGTTACCCTGTGTGTCCTGACACCCGTTCACCCCTGGCCACTGGTGGGCCTGGATTCTGTCAAGATCGTCCTGCGTTACCTCTCGGCTCAGCCCGGGAAGGTCCGTGGGCGGCCCATGAGGCAGCAGCACATGTGGCTGCCTGGCCCCTCGCCTGGTGCTCTCCTCCTGCTTCAGGTATTCAGACATAAAGTGGTGAGCCCCTGGGGTCTGTGCGCCTGATGACGAGAGTAGGCTGCTCTGCCTGCTCAGGTAGGACTGTATGATCTCGTTGCGCGACAGCTCCTTCCAGTTCGTCTGCTCAAAGGGGCTTTGGAGGCTAGCCTTGGCCTCCTGCTTATCCAGTTCTGTCCTAGGTGGCTGCTCTGTGTGCACAGGGCTGTCTGCCCGCACTGGCTCTTTCTGGGTCAGAGGTTTGATCTGTCTTGTCATGGGGTCAAAGGTGAGCTTCCGCTCTTTTAACCGGACGGGCTTTACGCCCGTCTCAGCCATTTGCCCGTCCAAGTTAACCGTGTAGTCTCGAGGTCGGTACCTCTTTTTCTTTTTATTGTCCGAGCCACCAGAGGAAGCAGCATCGCTGTCTGCCTTGGAGGAGTCTGGGGAGAAACCCGCCCGTGACAGGAGGGATTCAGCTGGAAGCAGCCCTGCCTTGCAGCCTGGCCCCACCAGCCGCTGGTGGCCCTCAGACTGCTCCAGCCAGCGCACAGGGCTGTCCGTGCTGGGGAGCAGCTCTAGCCTCCGCACAGGCGGTGTGGATGGCTGGGCCAGTGGAAGCGGTGATGGCACCTGTGTAGCATCGAGCGACTGGGGCCGTGGTGAGGGGCTGGGCACAGAGCCCTTGGGTGCATATGGGCTCCGCTGCCGGGCAAAGGAGCCCTCATGCCGTGAGTTCCGGGGGCTGAAAGAGCAGCGAGGGGGAGCCCTGGGGTGGGGAGGGCCTGGAGTCTCGTCCACCCTGTCCAGCTGCTGCAGCACTGAAGCCTTTGTCTGCAAGCAGGGTCCAGGGGACTTGCCCAGGCTTGGGGAGCTGGTATGCGGCCGCACGGCGTTGACAGGGATCTTGCTGCTGTGCTTGTCGTTCTCGCTGGGCTCCAGGCGGCTGCCTTCAGAGCCCGAGTGCCCACTGCCATCCAGGGGGCTGGGGAAGCTCTCTGGGCTCCCACTGATCCCATTGGTGGGGAGTGGGGATGAGTTGGGGACTAGGGGGTCATGAGTAGCTTTGGAAACCTTGGGAGGTGGCCCAGGGTGTCCAAGGTCACGCTGGTCCCCCCGGCGCTTGCGGCTGCCCAGCCTGTCCAGCCGTTGCCCAGGCAGCCTCTGGATGTCGTTGCGGTTCTTCAGGTCATGGATGCTCTTGGGTGTGCCAGCCGTCCCCGCCTCCGGCCGGCAGTTGTGGGCACCCCCATTGGCTGAGCCAGCGGCCCCGGCCAGCCCCCGCAGCGCTGCCTCATTCTGGTGCACTGGCTCAATGAGCTTCTGCCAGCTGCGCAGCAGCTTCTTTGCCCGCTTGGCGAGCTCCTCGTTCTTGGTTTTTTTACGGACGTCGTTGATGAGCTTCCCAAGTCGTGTTTCCTATAAACAGAGAAAGTGACATACTTTTAGGAGAGGGACTTCCCCATGAAAAGGGAGCTGATCCAGAGAAGTGCCTCCAGCTTTGAAATGACTCCTTCTCCATTGACCCCCAAACTGTCAGCTTCTCAGATGCAAATAGGGATTTCTGGTCCTTTGTGATGATATAAATTCTCAAAGACAGTCCTCAGACCTTAGTGTCCCAGGGCAGTAGGCAGATTTCTCAGAAGCAATGTCACACAGCCTCCTGGTGCCTGGAAACTCGGTATTATCCAGGCCACTGCAAGAACACCTGCCAGGTGAGAACATTCCACAGCCAAGGCAATGGCACAGCAAACCTGGTCTTCAAATGGAGGGCCAGGGACAGTGCCACTCACTGGAGCCTCCCCATGCACAGGCCAAGATGTGCAGGGTGTGGAAGGAGTAGGGTCAAGGATTGGAAACACCTCATTCGTGTAGTGCTGCATGGGAAGACAGCACACGGGCACATGACCCCACTCTGTCCTCTGAAGGCATGTAATTATTGAGGAAAGACAGCTGAGGTTGCCCTTGCTTCCCCATTCTGCCCCCTAGGCTTGGGCTGAGGTACTCACCTCCAATGCCTCTTTGGTAATGGGGTATCTCTCCAGGCTGGAGATGACTTCCAACACCGCCACCATGTTCCGGATCTGCAGAACAAGAGTCATGTGTCAGGCCCCTGTCTTCTCTTCTAGAAGGCTGGGTAGCCCAGGGCCAGCCCACTCCCATTTCTTTTTTTTTTTTTTATTTTTTTATTTTTTAGTTGGCGGACACAACATCTTTGTTGGTATGTGGTGCTGAGGATCGAACCCGGGCCGCACGCATGCCAGGCGAGCGCGCTACCGCTTGAGCCACATCCCCAGCCCCAGCCCACTCCCATTTCTGAAGCCTCCTACCTGCTCCCAGGACTAGCATGGCACCCAGTGTTCACCTCCACCCAACTGTCCACTCTTCCAGGGCATGGCATACCTCTGGTGTACACATGTTCACACCTGCCTCCCCTCACCCAGCTGACACTCGGGATGCTATGAAATGAGGCCTGCTCCTGATATATGAGGTGAACTCTGCCTCCTCAGGGGTATTGGGGCTGAAGAACAACAAAATGCACAAAGTTTCAAATCAAAAGATCAGCACCCTCCAAAACCAATCAATTTAATGACATTAACAAGGCCTTTAGAGTTCATCTGAACACACCATAAAAAGTAAAACATCACAGGGGCTGGGGTTGTAGCTCAGCGGTAGAGCGCTCACCTAGCACATGCGAGGTTCTGGGTTTGATCCTCAGCATCACATAAAAATAGATAAATAAAATAAAGGTATTGTGTCCAACTACCACTGGGGGGAAATATATATATATATATATATATATATATATATATATATATACATACACATATATACATACATATATACATAACACACACACATATGTGTATGTAAAACATAAAGTGAGAGGAGACGGGCCACAAAGCCCCAGACAGAAGGCATGAACTGGCACCTTTGCATACAAAATAGCCGATGTCAGCTCCAGTGACCAACTTTAGCAGGAGAATGCAAACTGAATTCATAAAGGGATACATGCAGACCAGCAGTTATGGTAATGCCAGGTAGTCCTGGGTACCGCACACTTTAGAAAGTGTTGGACTTTACCTGGCAGTGTGGAAAAATGCACTCCATCCCTTCCTTTTATGATCTTGCTATGAGCCAGTTCTGTTCTGAGCACTTTCTGTATATAACTTAATATTTACAACAAGCCCATGGAGCCAGTACTATTATTTTTACTTTGCACAGACAGAAATGACACAGAAACCCCACTGTCTCCAGTGTTCCTGGTTGTTAACAGGGATCTCACATGCTAGGGAAACTCCTGCTTACAGAAGCCAGGAATTGACCCAACACAGCAGGTCATAGTAGCCAAATGTAACAAGCAGGTGTCCACCAAGAGTTGAAGGAATACACTACTAAAACAAGCTACAAGTTTCTAGAAAACACATAGGAGAATATCTTTGCAAACTGGGGATAGGCAAATGTTTCTTCGTAGGAGCCCCAAACACTAACTGTCCAAGAAAAAATACAGACAAGCTGGACTTCATCGAAATGAAGAACTTCTGGTTTTAAGACAGTTTGGACACATATTGCCAAAACCTACCTGGTGAAGGATCTGGATGCAGGCCAGCCACCCCCTACCAGCAGCTACAAGGTTTCTGACAGGTCGGCTGGAAACAACCCTATAAAGCCCCCATCTTTCATGAGATTCACACAACGGGCATATTACACCAACCCCTCAAGCATGTCGTGACACTGCGCACAATGCAGTCACACAATACAAGTAAAAGCTACATGAAAAAAAGGCAAAGAAAACTACATCCCACCCAGCCACTGGAGTGTCCCTTGTATTTCCCCCCCAAATATACCATTTAGTAGGCACATATAATACACTTATCACACATTTAAAAACCAAAGCAAGCCAGCAATGGCTCTATACCTTGCTTTTTTTTCTCACTTAACACCAGAAACATCCAGCATCAAACAGACCTCTTACTTGGTTCATCTGTGCCTTCCAGCAGGGGGAAGGTCGCACTTTAATGCTAAGGCGGGAGTGGGGACCACAGGCCTCATCCTCTTGCCATCACAAACAAGGCTGCAATCAGCATCTGTGGTAGACTCAATTCCAGGCTAATGCACCAGTAGGCAAAGGAGCAGCAGGCCCCAGGTTTGAGAAGGACGTTCAATCAGCCCCCAGGGAGACTGCATCAATTACATTCCCACTAGGTGCCAGAACAGGGTGGAGAAGAGGATTTCCCACATCCTGAAAGACTGTGGTGTTAGTTTCTATCACCAGTTTAGCTGCTTGGATAGCACACATTTATCATCTCAGGCTCTGGAGGCCAGAAGTTCAGTCCAGGTCTCCCTGGACTAGGATCCTGGTGCTTGCAGCTATACTCCTTTCTGCAGGCTCTTGGGGGAGAATTCGTTTCCTGCTCCTGAGTGTCGGCAGATGTCCATTATTATGGCTGTGGAACCCGGGTCTCTGTTTTGTTGCTATTACCCAATGGCTATTCCCAGCTTCTGGAGGGTACTATATCCCTCACCTCATGGCCCTCCCTCCATCTTCAAAGCCAGCAAGGGCTGAGGCCTCCTCACATCACAGATCCCTGATCTGCGGGGATGATCCAGGATCAACTCCCTTCCTCCAGTCTATAACCTTAGCCATGTCTGCCTGTGAGGTTGCACAGGCCCAGGTTCCAGAGTCTAGCATATGGACATCTTGCTGGCCTCATGTTTTCCTGGCTTTCCTAATATTTTGCCCATTTCCCGCTGAAGGCAGAGAATTCATGTCTCCTCTGATGTAAAGTTGCACAGTGACCACAGAGCAAGGACAGTGGCTTCCATGCTGCCAACAGTGCTCTTACAAAGCTGTCCCTCTGCCAATAAGCCAATTCACTCCTTGCTTTTGATGTTCTTGTCTGTGAACACATTCAGACTGCTCTAAAACATCCACTTCAAGCTCTGTCAAGGGGTGGGGTGACCCAACAGGAGACACAGCTGATTCTGTATTATCCCTAACATGCGATGGGCAGAGATTCAATGCAAGAGAAGACTGGGCAGTGAGGAGGTCAGTTGCAAAGGGCCAACTGCTCCCTGACCCTGGGATTCCTGTACCCATGGGGCTCCTGGGCTTGCCACATGGCCTCGTCTCCACCCCAGTGATCTCACCCTGGTATATTTAGAGCCCTGGGTACCCACATACTCCTGAACCAGCAGTCCTCACAGAGCGGAATGCTGCCCAGGCCCAGCAAGCCTGGCGGCACAGAGTGTCCTTGTCCTTGAGCAGACATCGTCCTGCTACCAGGCAGGAGGGAGGAGGCACAACACCTGGGCAACTCCAGGGTCTGGCAATGAGTTGGCGCCTCAGAACTCTCTGCTGAACCAACAGCCATCCAGAGAACCTCCTGGAAGCTGTGTGGGAGCTGGGGGCATGGCGTGAAGGTCAGAAGGCCCTGCCAATGAGCTCATGTGTCCCACAGCTTAGGAGTGCACAGAGGGGCCTTCAGCTTCCAGGAAGCCTTGCAGAAAATCCTTTGTTTTCTAATGTCTTTCTGTGGACCCCTTTCTGCACTGTCCCCCACATCTTGCATGAAGGCTACTCACCTGAGGAATCCCTGGAGGAGGGTGAGCCCTTGAGAGCTTGAAGGCAGCTGGTAATACCAACTGTGCTGAGGACAAAGGGTGCAAAGCAAAGGGTGGCTGCTACACCCTGTCCTGCTCTTCCCCCTCTTGGGCTGTGATGGCAGGAGCTCTGAGTCTTGTGTGGGGAGTACCACCTAGGCATTCCAGGGGCAGTCAATCAGGCCCCCAGGGACCAGGAAAAGGATCTAGTGCAATGGAGTGAGGGCTCCCTATGTCCTAGTTCCCACCTGGCCTACCAGGGAGGAGAATGCAGACACAAGACTTCAGAAATCTGACAGCCCCACAGAGCTTTTCACAGCTGATCGGTCTGTCCTAGAGAATGCCTGGCACCCAAACCAGCACTGGGTCCCACAGGAGCAAAATGTGAGCAGGTTCCTCACCTTGGTGCTCCTGCTCCGTCTCAGAAAGGCCAGCAGGACCCTCAGGGCAAGGAGTCACAGGGGGAGGGATGGGGACGCTTGTGACAAGGGCAGCATGCCAGCAAACAAAGCCCATATGGAGGTCAGAAAAGGATGGGACAAACAAGATGTGTCCCCTGGGCCTCCAAGTTGGGAAGCAGGAAAGAGTTGGAAGGATGGGAAGGGAGGTAATGAGACTACGCCAAAACCCTAGAGAAGGGATGAACCTGAAGATTCCAGCAGGAAAGAGACACTGGGAGGCAGAACAGACCCAGGGACCTGAACTGGCTGACACAATCTGTCTTCTATCAATTTTCACTGTTTAAGGGCTGAATCTGCCACTCCCTCAACAGACCATCCATCTATCCTGGTCCTATTCTGGGTCTTTCCTTGTACCTATCTTTTTGGAAATGTACTGGAGCCTAACCACCACAGAAACTGTTCCTTCTCTTGCTGCCCTCGAAGGGTGGCATTCTGAAAGTTCTATGGGCTCACTCAGGTCCACATCTCAGGGACAGATGCAGCCTCGTGCTGTTTTGAGTGGCCTGGCACAACCATGGACCTTTCTCTTCCTTTAGGATTCAGTCCCCAAATAAACTCTCAACCACCCTGCCAAATGGCTTTCCCAAAAGAAGCAAGATTCCCAGGTGAGGGGCTGTAGCCTCTCATTAGGGGTCCTTGGGTAGATGCGGGTCTACTTATATTTTCTCGATAAGGCATGGAGCCAGTCGTTGCCTCTTCTTTCACCAACAGTGGCTGCTCCTCCTGCACACTTATTTGCATTGATGTGGCTTCTTAATTGGAGGTAAATATTTGCCTGCCCCTGAAGCCCCTAGTGTGGTAGCATTTGCCCCATGCACGCTGATGCTTGAATGTCTATAGGGGAAAGGCAACCTTGGCAATGGGGTCAGCAGGAGGAGCCAGTAGCAATGGTATCCAGAGTGGAGGAGGGTGACTGTAGAGCCAAGGATGCTCTTGGAAGGGCAGGGAGCACTTGGGGAAGTAGGTGGGAACCCCAACATACCTGTTCCAAACGCAGGGCAGGAAGTTTTGGCAGTGGG